TGTACGCACGCCTCAAAGTAAGGACAACATTGTCCCCCGAATCGATGCTGTTCGCCGGATTTTCTCAATCCTCCGGTCTGTCCTCTTCTATGCGTGTGAATGCTGAACTTTGAGCGTGGAATATTAGCGCACACTGGAGTTATTTGAGCACCGCTGCCTGAGGACCATCCATTAAAGGAAACCATACCGAATTTTTCTTAAAGGAAGTAGTCCGCACTCGCTGCAGCCATATGGCCAGGATATTTCAGGCCATCAAAGAAAAGTGACTGGGGTGGTTTGGGTAGGTTCGCCGTCGTCCGTCTCACGAGGTTTGCTGCGCTGCCCTCGGTTTGGTGCTGCAGCCCGCCTGGAGGCGTCAAAGAGGAGGACAATTGAAGAATTGCCTCGTTAACACATGGAAACGGCTCTTGGACCTTCGATTTAAGGTCTCCGTCGCTGGAGAAGAGAATTAGTGAGCTTTCCAGGTCCGCTACCGTCAGTGGTCACGTGTGAAGAGGTACCGTCCGTGACATCGTTGAAGCCGGCCGGATCAGGCATGGTCACAGCCGTACCAAGTACAAGCACGTCACTGTTACGTGAGAGGCGTCGTTTGCGGGCATGCGTTGTGTGATATTGGGCGTGATCATGTGTGACGTAGTCGGCAGTTTTTTTGGTGTGGGTGCAGCGGGTAACATAGGTAATGACGTCGTCTGTGCTTATTTCATACTCGCAATATTTCTTCTCTACAAAAAAACACCCAAAAGCGAGGGAACGGATTACATCTCCTATGTGTGTGAGTGTCACTTCTGACTCTCAGACCACCAGTCGACCACGCCAACCAAACACACATCAGTGTGTTTGGCAGCCCTTCAAGCCACATGCAGCACAGAAGCCACATGAAGAAGCATCCGAGAATCGTACTTTCCCTTCCACCTACATGTCCTTTTCAGGGACGTGCTGTTGGGCTTCTTGGTATAGGTATGGAGAAGAACGGTAGTGTTTTATTACCAGTGGTTTTCTACCAAGTCTTTTAGGGTGGCGCACAGAGCCTTATAGGCCCTTCTGGGG